TGGTATGTTGCAATTGAGTGGGACCGAGAATCACATAGCCTTCAAAAGCTATTTTGGATGTCTCCCGATCAGATCATTCTTTGGATAGAGTATTGTGCTATCATACTTAATGATAATACCGCAAAAACAAACCAATACGATATGGTCCTCTCACTGTTCTTATATGTTGATAATTATGGGTTTTCTCGACTAGTTGGATGTGCACTTATAAACAATGAGTTGGCAGATTCGTACCAGTGGGTTTTACATCAGACAAAACAAGCTACTAGAGGCTATGTACTTGCTGTTATTATGACCGTTGCTGATCCGGCTTTAAATCTTGCAATCTCCAAGGAGTATGAACAATCTTATGTCATGCATTGTATATTCCATATATCACAAAACCTTCCTCGAAATCTTGTGGCTAAGTTGGGTCAACAGTATTAGAAGTTTGTTTAAGATTTTTACACCGCTAGAAATTCTCTTGTTCTGAAAGTTTTTGAACAAAAATGAAAACAGTTGATTAAGAAATATAACGAGCCTAGAGTAGTAAAGTATCTAAAAACATTATATTCTTCAAAAAAAGCATGGGTATGTGCTTATACTACAAAGATCTTTACTGCTGGTATACAATTAATGCCTCGTGTTGAGAGTTACAACACTCAAGTCAAAAGGCTGGTTTTAAACTCTAATATAAGCTTACTCGAGCTTGCTGAAGTCTTGGAAGCAAGTTTAGAAGAGGAGATTAAAAAAGCAAAGTATGCTTGTTGGAAGACACAAATTCCATTGATATCGTCTGCTGCTACGTTATCACAAACATTATTTCCGAACTCGATAAGGCTTTGAGTCAGTTTATTACGCCTGAAATGCAAAAAATTTAGCATGCTAAAATTAAAAGTTGCCTAAATTATAATGCATCTGCTATCACAAAAGATAAAATAATTAAATATCAAGAGGTTTGTTTTTTAGAGATACTGTAATATTGCAAATTGATACTGAACGAATCTTATTATATTTAAGCCCAAGTCAGATGATATCTCATTTGTAGAAGATAACGAAGATATTATACAAATTTCAATTAAATATATATTGAAAAATATAGACATCAACAAAATAATAGAAATCTGGGCTATCTGTATAATTATGGCTTCGACATTTTGTCATTTTGTTGTCCTTCTTTCTGACAAGACTTATATATGCTCTTGTTTGGGGCTTGTAAATCGTGAGGTAGTTTGCCATCACTTTTTTCAGGTGATGCTATGTAGTCATATAGCTGCATTCTATATTATATATATTCATTAAAGATAGTACAAGGATATTTATGGTGATTTACAGGAAAAGCCTTATTATATTGCCACACGTTTTAGCAAGAATTTTTCTCAAGATTAACCTACAGAATTCATAAGGTCTAACATAAATAGATTGTTTACACTGGCTGATTTTTGGGACAAAAGAAAGGAAAACATTAATGAATGAAAGCTATATGGAGAATTATAGGGAGTTGCACGAAATATTACACAAAAGGCAGCTCAATTTCATAGACAAGATGTTTTTGAAAAACCACAAAATTTATTAACTGAAATACGAAAGAAGAATTAGTAAATAGCCCAGTTAATGATGATAATGAGGAAATATACAGTAATAGCTTAGACAACAATAAAGAATATGAAGAAACTAGTTTATTAGCTGATATATCTCTTCAAACCCCAAAAAAAAGTAAGGCGAAAGGACAGGCAAAAAGTTCTAAACGAATCAAGCGATCAGAGGAATTAAAGCCAGCCAAATGTCAAAACCAATGTGGGAATTGTAGCAAGTACGAGTATTATAGACCTAAATATTCAAAAAAAAAAAAAAAAAGTAATTAGAGAAAAGATAGTTTACAAATTATTTTGTAATTATTTTTTTTTTCAATAAATATGTAATAATCTTTTAATTGATACTTGATATGAATATTATAGTGTTACTATAGTATAGAATATATGTAAGAGCTGTGACATTTATTTTAGGAGTGGGGTTGAGCATGTATTATATCAACATCTTATGTTATACAAAGAAATTATATAATTTCTAAATTGGCCAATCATATAAATTTTACATGGGGGGAGGGTAGCCCTTATAGTAAATGGATATTACATAATAAATGTCAGAGCCCTAATAGTTATTACACGTATTTGTTGTCAATATCATTAAAATCACAAATCAATCAAGATATTGTTTAGTATTGCAGCGCAGCCACAATGATAAATAATATCTTGATTGATTTGTGATTTTAATAATATCGACAACAAATATGTGTAATAATAACTTAATTCTACTTTGGGTCTTGAGTTCTTGAGTTGGTTTTGAGTACCTCTTTTCTTCGTTCCAAATTGTGTATATGTGAATTAACTCTTTTTTTGTTTTTTTGTTTTTTTTTTCCAGATTAACTAGTAAGAATCTTAAATATTTAAGTTTTAATTACCAATTTCAATCAAATAATATCATACCTCTATGAGAACAATACTATTGCCTTTAGAATATTAGTGCTGATCTTAAATATAAAACGATAAATGTAGTAGTAAAAGAATTCTGCTTTGGGTCTTGAGTTGATTCCAAATCATGTACATGTGAATTAACTTTTTTTTTCTGATTAACTAGTAAGAATCTTAAACATTTAAGTTTTAATAACCAATTTCAATCGAATAATACAGTATCTTTACGAGAACAATACTATTACCTTTAGAATATTAGTGCTAATCTTAAATATAAGACGATAGACTAGTAGTAAAGGAATTCTACTTTGGGTTTTGAGTTCTTGAGTCGATTTTGGAAATGCAGATAAGTATCCTTTTCCTTGTTCCAAATTGTGTACATGTGAATTAACTCTTTTTTTCTGATTAACTAGTAAAAATCTTAAACATTTAAGTCTTAATGTCCAATTTCAATCAAATAATACCGTATCTCTATAAGAACAATACTATTACCTTTACAATGTTAGAGCCGATCTTGAATCTAAGCCAATAAACGTAGTAGTAAAAGAATTCATCTTGAGTTCTTAAGTTGATTTTGAAAATGCTAATAAGTATCTTTTTCTTCGTTTCAAATCGTGTACGTGAATTAACTCAGATTAACTTGTAAGAATCTTAAGCGTTTAAGTCTTAATGACCAATTTTCAATCAAATAATACCGACCTCTATAATATTAATGCCGATCATAACTCTAAGATGATAGACTAGTAGTAAAAAAATGCTACTTCGGGTCTTGAGTTCTTGAGTTGATTTGGAGTATCTCTTTTCTTCATTCCAAATTGTGTATATGTGAATTAACTCTTTTTTTTTTTTTTTTCAGGTTAACTAGTAATAATCTTAAACATTTAAGTCTTAATGACTGATTTCAATCAAATAATACTGTACCTCTATGAGAACAATACTATTACCTTTACAATGTTAGAGCCGATCTTGAATCTAAGCCAATAAACATAGTAGTAAAAGAATTCTACTTTGGGTCTTGAGTTCTTAAGTTGATTTTGGGAATGCAGATAAGTACCTTTTTCTTCATTTCAAATCGTGTACGTGAATTAACTCAGATTAACTTGTAAGAATCTTAAGCGTTTAAGTCTTAATGACCAATTTTCAATCAAATAATACTGACCTCTATAATATTAATGCTGATCTTAACTCTAAGATAATAGACTAGTAGTAAAAAAATTCTACTTTGGGTCTTGAGTTCTTGAGTCAATTTGGAGTACCTCTTTTCTTCGTTCCAAATTGTGTACATGTGAATTAACTCTTTTTTTCTGATTAACTATTAAGAATCTTAAATATTTAAGTCTTAACAACTGATTTCAATCAAATAATACCATATCTCTATGAGAACAATACTATTACCTTTACAATATTAGAGCCGATCTTAAATCTTAGACAATAGACATAGTAATAAAGAATTCTACTTTGGGTCTTGAGTTCTTAAGTCGATTTTGGGAATGTAGATAAGTATCTTTTTCCTTGTTCCAAATCGTGTATATGTGAATTAACTCTTTTTTTCTGATTAGCTAGTAAGAATCTTAAATATTTAAGTCTTAATGACCAATTTTAATCAAATAATACCATACCTCTACGAGAACAATACTATTACCTTTAGAATATTAGTACTGATCTTAAATATAAAAGATAGATGTAGTAGTAAAAGAATTCTACTTTGGGTCTTGAGTTCTTGAGTCGATTTTAGGAATGAAGATAAATATCTTTTTCTTCGTTCCAAATCATGTATATGTGAATTAACTTTTTTTTTCTGATTAACTAGTAAGAATCTTAAACATTTAAGTCTTAATCAACAAGAAAGTAGTGACTACAGAAATGCAAATAGAGACAGGAGTTCATGGTACAGAGCAGAAAGAAAATATTCAAAACACGATCCTTGAGCAAATTCTTCAAAGACTCAATGCAATAGAGCTAAGACAGAGTAGCCTAGGAGCGCAGAATCACTCCTAAAAGTTGCTACAGGCGTTTTTACAAAAAAAAGGGTCAGGAAATGTGGGAGGAGGATGCCTGGACCCTTCCAACGCAGAGGAGGAGTATAATAGAAGAAAATGATAGGGTTCTGAAGATAGTGGTACATAATATTAATGGGTTAAAGTCACATAGTTATCGGTTAAATCTGGTTTTAGTATGGGCTGCGCAAGAAGGTTTCGATTTGGTTAGGTTGACAGAGACTAATATACAAGAGCATACAGGAAAATTTTTAATAAAAGATAAAGACAATTATTGAGAAATTTGGGCTTGTGCAGATGTGAATAAATCTAAAGGTTCAGGTGTAGAGTTACTCATTAGCAAAAGAATAGAGAAATATATTGGAAAAGTAGAAAAGATAAATGAATTTCTATTAATTGTGACTTTTATTTACCAAACAACATCACGCTCTCGGTCATGGTGACGTATCTCCCATCAAGCAATAACGAAGTGGTAAAAAGAAATTTCGGCTAAGATTCATGACAAGATTACATTTTACGAAAAAACAAATTTTGTAATCTTAATGGGGGACTTTAATCATGTGGTAGACCTACAATTAGACCGGGCAAGGCCATCATCAACACAAAAGAATTTATTACTATATCAGTGGCTAATGTCTAGAGAGTACAAGGACTCTTTCAGACTTTGCAACCCAGAAAGTAAAAAATATACATGGAGTAATT